TCCATATCTCCTCCCTCACATGCTGCATGAAGTAAACCACGTCCTTTATTATCCATTACATTAACACCTTGAGGATAAATACTGGATAAATAACGAAACACATCAGTATGGCCATTACTGCAAGCTGTATGTAATACAGTGGATCCTTCATTATCAGTAGCTGTAAGGAGATCATGATGAGTAGAACTACCAGTGACTGAGAACAGTAAAGCTTCAGCGGTATCCTTATGACCAGAGGCAGCTGCTAAGTGTAATGGTGTCTGTCCTTTTTTGTTAGTAATTAATAGATTAATATTAGTAGAGCGGATTAGAAGTGATGCCATCTTCTGTTGTCTTCTCCTACAAGCAAAGTGTAATGGTGTGTTACCATCTTTATCTTGGACATTAAAAAGTAAGCTTAGTTTCATTTCTAATAAATATTCCAATATTTCAAACTGTTCAGCTGCTACAGCAACATGTAGTGGTGTACGGTCTTGATGATTGGTTGCATTAGGATTACAATAATTATTATCAATGAGATACTTCAATACATTCAAGTGACCCCTTGCTACTGATATGTGAACTGCTCCAGACCCTTCATCATCAGTAGCTGATAGATTACACTTCTTACTAATAAGATATTTAATAACTTCTAACTGATTGAAGTACACTGCAATAAGGAGTGGAGTACGACTGTCTTTACTGTGAGGTAGTTCAAGTGATGATGGTATGTGTTCTATAATGTACTGGATCAAGTTCAATCTTCCATTACTACATGCTAAGTGAATAGGAGCCATTCCCTCATCATTCACAGCACACAGATCTAACTCATGATTCTCTACCAGATGTTTAAGTATAGGAAGAGAGTCACTGTACTCACAGGTAATGTGAAGAACTGTTGATCCATTAGAAGTCTTAGCTGCTACATTACACTGAGGAAGACTAGTGAGATAAAGTACAACAGGAACATGACCTCCTTCACATGCTTCATGAAGAACTGTACTACAAGTATCAGTAGTAGTGGCATTAAAATCACACTGATACTTGTTGATCAGTTCCTGTAGACAATGTAGCTTACCTCCGAAAGCAGCTGAATGAGCTAGTGTGTACTTGTTATTGCTAGTGTGATTAGTAATATCCACACTATACTCCAGACTGTACCACTCCAGTATATAAGTATGACCTCTTTCTGCTGCTGCATGTAATGCTGTGAAACCATATTTATCATGATTAAATGGCTCAAGCTTATACTGTTGTATTAGTAATTGTACTAGATCAAGATTACCTGAGAAACAGGCAAATGTGACACATGTTTCATAACGTGTATCCTTAGCATTGACATCACATTTCATATCATTTATTAGAAATGTGGTCAATTGAATATTACCACTCACACAGGCACAAAGCAATGGTATCCTACCCTCATTGTCAGTAGAGTGTAGTAAACTAATGTATTGAGGATACTGACTGGTCATATGCTTGATAAAGTGAGTGTGACCTTCTAATGATGAAAAATGAATAACATTCCAACCTTTGTTATCTGTTAGGCTCAGACTACACTTGTAATCCTTCACGTATAATTCCAGTAGTAAAATATCCCCAGATTCAGCAGCATAATGAATTGGTAGCTTACCATTACTGTCAGCTTGATGAGGATCTAACTGATAGGTAGTTATTAATTCTTTAACAAGAGATAAGTTAAGAGACAGTGAGGCATAATGTAAAGCAGTGAGGCCATTCTTAGTAACTGCAGTAGGAGACAAACCATGTTCAGTTATAAGATACTGAACTAAATCAAAGTTACCACTCCATGCAGCATGATGTACTAACGTGCGTCCTTCATTATCTGTTTTATTAATATCACAATGCTCTACCTCAATGAGATATTGAGTGATATCAATATGACCATGACAACAAGATTGATGAAGACATGTGATACCATCATTATCAGTGATATTAGGATCACTGTTATGATTATTAATAAGATATTTAACAGAATTAATACTACCTGACCAGCAGGAGTAGACTAATGGTGTACGACCATAAGTATCAGTATCATTAGCATTGAGATTATACTGAGATATGATATAACTTAATACACTAGTAGAACCTGACCAGGCAGCATATTGTATTGGAGACCTACCATTATTAGTTAATGTACAATTGATATTATATTCTTCTAATACTTTCACTAGTAATGTACTGCCACTCCACGATGCCCGATGAAGTAATGACCAACCATCATTCGTAGTGGCATTGATATCAAAGTTAGGGCAAGTGCTAGCTTTCTTGAAAAGTGAAGAAAACATTTTAACTCTTTCATTTCGCTTGATAAAATCAATATTTTGTTTTATTCTAGTATTATTAATAATTTGAATATCTGATGCATCACTTTTTGCCATAAGTTTACTATACACAATACCAACTGAAATTTGTATGCCTGCATAACATGCATAATGTAAACATGACCAACAATCATTATCATTAACTAATAATGCTTCGTTACCTTGAATACTAACAATATACTCAACAACTGATGATGAAGCAAACCATGAAGCATAATGAAGTGGAGTCCTACCATATTGATCCTTTACTTCAATGGATAAATGATATCGTTTTAAAAGATACTTAAAAAGCTCAATACTTTTATTATTCATAGAGCAACAAGTATAATGTAGTATACCAGCCCCTGACTTTGTTGTGTCATCTGGTGAGAAGAGGTTTAATGATTCAAGCTTGTGGACTAATGCTAACTCTCCCCTTTTACAAGCTAACAATGATAAAGAGGCACTAATACAATTAATCTGAGAAGTATTACAATTTCTCTCAATAAAAAATTCCACTAGGTCACAATGGCCCCCCATTGCTGAGTACAGTAATGCAGTGTTATTGCTATTGTCTGGTTGATCAGGAGGAACGTCACATGTGTCTACTAGATATTGTACTATAGATAAGTGGCCTTTATAAGATGCCATATGTATACTAGATACACTATTATCATCACCTTCATTAGGATCAATACCATATTGATCGATGAGTAGTTGAAGGATCTCAATGTGTCCACCATATGATGCAGAGTGTAATGGAGTCCAACCATGAAGACCACGATGATATGTGCTGTAATCAAACTTGTTAAGAAGCCATTGTACTTCATCCTTTAATCCTCTCCAAGCTGCTTCATGTAATGGTGTACTGGTATTCTCATACCATAATGGATCACATATATCTATAAATGAAGAATATTATTAGTAATACAAGTTATGTATGGAGGGATTGACTAAAGGTCAGTTCATGTACTTACCAATATCAGTGGATGAGTGCTTAACCTCTTCTATTGAGAACTGTAAAATTAAGAATAATATTAAAATTTTTTATAAATTATAATCACAAACCTCTCTTAGATCATATTTATCTTCACCACATGTTAGCTCAGTGATACCAATACTAGCTAACTGTTGCTGTAGCTTTGTAGTTAGAGGAAATAATAAAGAATAAAGATACTCAGGAATGAGGTAACCCAAACAGAGAGAGCCATCATAGACGAAACTGAAGTAAAGGTCATATTCAGGAATATCCAAACCTTTTGGTATTGCTCTACGAAAGAAGAATATGTCGTCCAGTGTGTAGTCATCTCTGTCAACTTTAGCAATCATTACTCGTGTACCAGGAGGAACACCTTTTACACCAAACTGTACAGCATCAGCATCTTTCAATAGTCCACCACTGTTTATAAAATAATCCTTTAACTTCTCTTCATATGATGACCAAGTTCTCTTTAATGAACGATTTTTTGGTAGAAATACTCCAACAAGTTTTATTATTAGTTTATAGTTGAACCATGATATGTATTTACTTTGTAGTACAGTGAACAGTTTTGGTATTGTTTCTATGCGTTCAAACTCTTCTGAAACTGCTTGGGTAATTTTTTCAGCAGTTGTTTGTTGTTTTTTGTTAGGACCAAGTAATGACATTGTGTGTGTAATGAGGTAGTCAACGATTTTAGGTACATCACTTGATTTGAAGGAATTCTTTGTTATTCTGATTGCTTCGTCAAATTCATCTTGTAGATCATATAACTTGCTAGTTAATTCAAAGCTCTTTTCAGAATAACCATATTTGGACGTACCTAAATTGATGAATAGTTAGCATTAATAGAGGCAATATCATTACCTGTTGCTCTGTCAGTGCTTCCTGGTGACATAGCTACCTCATCTGTTTCTGGAGTGGCACTTTTTTCTAAGAAAAAATTAAAATAGCAAAATACTGACTGTGAGTTGATATCAAATAACCAAATTATGTGACCAAATGATGTAATTTAGCAATTTTCATGATCAAATTTTTTTATGCTATGCAAGCAGCTAAAAGAAAAAGCACACTGACTGAGGGAAAATGGCAAATAACATTCACTACTGAGACTGGAATTTGTACGTAATGATATTCATTGCTCAATAATGATATTCATGTACTATATCAGTAGTGTGACTTCTACTATGCAAGCAATTGGCTCAATACCAAAAAAGGAGATAATTAGGCTACCCAACCCAACCTACACTAACACATAATGTACCATATAGCAGGGGCGTATCTAGGAATATAGAAAGGGAGGTGCTGGGGGCACGTGAAGCGTGCCAATATTTTGACCACACCCATTTTTACAGCAGTAAAACGGCCTTTTCCTGCATTTTCATCAATTACGGGTGGGGCCAAGATCATTTCAAGCACACTGCTATGTTACTGGTACTTCTGATTGCTCCTTAAAGCACTGGAAACTGCTGAAATCATGATCAGGGGGCTAGATAACTTTGTTATCTAGTTAGTCCAGTTAGTTAGTTAGTCTAGTTTGTTAGTCCAGGACTTCAGTAATTTTTTCTGAGCCCAGCCATGAGGGGGGTGCTCAAGTACGTCTCTGGTATAGTGCAAAATTTTGAAGGCTGTAAATTTTGCGAATTTGCCTAAAAATCTATTTTGTGGATTTTATTTTTGCAAATTTATACTGTCTGCTATCTTGCGCCCTAATGATTTTATTTTCGAGGAAGTAATTTTTGCGATTCTTCAAAAAAGTCGCAAAATTTACAGCCCTCAAAAATTTTGCCCTATATGGTATTATCATAAATACTGTGACACTGACAGTGCGATGACAACACTCAACTAATATATGTACCTTTTGAACTAGTTGATCCTGCAGGTGGCATAGCTGGTAGAGGATGTTCACGAGCTATTTCATCAGCTAATGCTGGATCACCTCCTCCTTCTTTAACAGCTACACACACCATTCTCCAGCAGGGCCAACCATAATGCTTGTGATCGCAATCTTTCTTTAACCAATACTCTAGAGCTTTCTGCAGACACGTCTCAGTATCTCCACGATGATCTGCTTCTATCTTGTTGATTGTATCAATCCTGATGCGCCACGAAAAAGCAATCTGCTTCCAGCGAGGCGAAAGTGGTTTGATTTTATCATAAACATCGTAGTAGTGTTCATTGATGTCTGCAAAATATCATTAAATGTTATATATACACACAAACTCACTTAGTTCTTTATTGCAAACGTTTATAAAAGGAGCAGAGGAAGAACTAGGGCTTCTACTTGTAGCCATTGTTTGTGGAATGTATACACCCACGCAAAAGGTGGTTTCTAGGCGTGGCTCACGGGCTCAGTAGAACTCCGTAGTCTCCACATTTTTTGAATAGTATACGGAGTAGACACGTGGTTTGTAATGGCGTTCCTTGTCCAGTGTACTTGCAGAAAGCTTCTCTCCCTCTCTTCATCTCTTAGTAGAACACCATCAAAGAATCAGCTCTTGACTTCCAGACTATCTCATTTATTAAATAAAGGAGTGAGGACCCTACACACTGGAGTAAGGACATAATGTAATGTGTCTAATGTAGCACTCCTCAGTGTAATCTGGTAATAAATTGGATTAAAATTAGATTAAAAATTTAATAAATTATCTACTGTATGTGTCAAAAATTTTTGGGGGATTAAATGATATTTTATTGAATTAGACGTAAGGTGGGAATCATAATTATGTGAATTTTTATTTTGTTAATGAAATTTAAACCAAATTAAAAGCCTTGGAAATTTTTACAATTAATTAGAAAATTTATTTATAAACCTCAATGAGCCATGCACATATTCATATTATTAATAATGTCTCCTCTCCCTCTATCATCTCTCATTAGTATATATACTCCAGTAGTTCTGAATCAAGTGATGGATCAGATGATCCTAAGACTAATGATGATGAAGGGTCTCTGGATGAGGTTGATTTGGGTTCCCTCTCTCGTGCTATTGCCACCATATCAATACCTGATACTCTACCTGAGGTACCTCTCCTGGTACTCAATAGGAACCCAATGTTCCCACGGTTTGTCAAAATGGTGGAGGTAAGTTTAAATGATTTGATATTGTTAGTTATACTGCACCATATACTGGGTACTTTCTCTTTCCTTCTCTTTCAGGTTACTGATAAATCTCTAATGTCTTTAATAAAACAGAAATGTGACCTGGCTTTACCTTATGCTGGGGCTTTCCTTAAAAAGAATGACAAGTACATTATATTATAATACATTCATTAGCAACCTATCCATCACTGTTAATATTTCATTCTGATTTCATCTTATTTCTATTAATTATTAGTGAATTATTATTATTAATGGTATAGCTGGTTACACCCATATTAATTAATAGCTTTTTATTTATTTATTATTTTTTTAAAAGATTGAAGAAGCTGTGCAGTGTCTAATGGCATCTATTTCTCTCTCCTCCTCCTCTTTGGGTTGAGGCTATAGTCAAGTTACAGCTGGGAATGACGTTATACCATCACACGAATAACCTCCTGGAGGCCAGAGAACTATCAGAACAAGCTGTGAGTTTATGGTATACACATTACCATTTGGGAATGAATTAATGAATTTGATAAACTTATCACAAAAAGTCATAATTCAAAAATTTATAGTCGGAATTGGCTGAAACTTTCTACATAGCATAAGGACATCAATATGTATCAAAAAATGTAACAAAAATTTGGGGTGATTTTGGAGCCATTTTTTGGAAAAACCATGGGCTATAGTACGGGGAAATTTTCTCATTTTAAAAAATAGCCGTAACTCAAAAATTTGATCTCGGAATTGGCTGGAACTTTCTACGTAGCATGAGGACATCAATATGTATCATAAATTGTAATAAAAATTTTGGGTGATTTCGGAGCCATTTTTTGGAAAAACCATGGGCTATAGTACAGGGAAATTTTTCAAAATTAGCTCATTTTAAAAAATAGCCGTAACTCAAAAATTTGAGCTCGGAATTGGCTTGAACTTTCTACACAGCATAAGGACATCAATATGTATCAGAAAATGTAATAAAAATTTTGGGTGATTTCGGAGCCATTTTTTGGAAAAACCATGGGCTATAGTACAGGGAAATTTTTCAAAATTAGCTCATTTTAAAAAATAGCCGTAACTCAAAAATTTGAGCTCGGAATTGGCTTGAACTTTCTACACAGCATAAGGACATCAATATGTATCAGAAAATGTAATATAATTTTGGGGTGATTTCGGAGCCATTTTTTGGAAAAACCATGGGCTATAGTACAGGGAAATTTTCCAAAATTCGCTCATTTTTAAAGCTAGCCATAACTCAAAAATTTGAGCTTGGAATCGGCTGAAACTTTCTAGTTTCTACACAGCATAAGGACATCAATATGTATCAGAAAATGTAATATAAATTTTGGGCCATTTCAAATGATTCTAAAGTTGCTTTAAAATGTAGTAGAGACAATGGCCAAATTTCACTAAAAATGAAAAGTAGAAAATTCTCCATTTTTATAATATTTCCTGGTACATATACATGTTCTTATGTTGTGTAGAAAGTTTGAGTTGAATCAAAGTTGGATTTTTAATGAATTTTTAAAGTTTGTCAAAATTCGGCTGAAAGCCATTGTACTTCAAAATCTGGCCAAAGACCATGGACCATACTATGGTACAGGGTATTTTGTCAAAAATTGGGAGGAGAAAATATTTCATTTTTATTACATGACCATTCTTATTTCTCTCTCTCTCTCTCTCTTGTCCCCCAGAGAGTCATTGGCTCAGATCATTGAGGCTGGTAAAAGAGTTATAGATGATCCTACACATCTTGCTGATTTTGGAGCTGCACTGACCAGTGGAGAATCACATCAAATTCAAGCAGTTCTTGAATGTCCAGACGTAATCACTTCAAGTCCACTGTGGCAGGAGAACTGGAATAAAACTTTTGACTTATTTAATTTTGATTTTATAAAATATATTAAAAATTATTAAAACATCAAATAGAAAACTCAATGCTATTGTTTCATAATAAAAGTAAATCAAAATACAATAACAACAACAACAACAACAACAACAACAACAATAATAATAATAATAATAATAAATTAAGTGTAAGTACAAAATAAAGGTACATGTGTACATGCTATAATAAAACAATTTATTAATTAAGGAAGAAAGGGAAGACTAACAAAAGAAAGCAAAGAGTAGCTCCAGTGATACATGTTAATGGAGAATATATTAAAGAAGAAGAATTGGTGATATTGGTAACCATTGTGGGTATATGGTGTAATGGTGATAACTGGTAAGGTGGTTACAGTTACGATGGTAATATGGTGGTACAATGGTAATAGATATATTGCATGTCTTTGGTGTACTTGGTAATGATAAGATGACAATGGTGGTTAAATGTCAAACTTAGTACAAAGGTGATAAGATTAATGGTGATACAAGTTAAGATATTACACAAGTATTGTATAGGTGATATTGGTAGCCATTGGTGTATGGTGTAATAGTACAATGGTGATACAATGGTATGTAAGGTGGTGGGATGATGATAAGGTGGTGATAGGTGTAATGGTAAGATGGTGTTTAAGATACAATATCGTATAGGATTGGTGATATTGGTAACCATTGTGGGTATATGGTGTAATGGTACTGATGATACTAAAGTGGTGTAAGGTAGTTAGATGGTGGTAAGGTGGTAGGATAGGTATGATGGTGTAATGGTGATAGGTTACATATGGTGCTGTAGTAAGATGGTGTATTGGTAATATGGTGATAGGTTACATACAATGGACTGATAAGGTGGTAATATGGTGATAAGGTTGTGTTTAAGATACAATATCTTGTCCTGATGGGTCAACCTGTTGTCCTTCAAGTTTCTCATGATATCCACTCACTTTCCTTTGTTCTAAAAGAAATAAATCATAATGTATCTCTTGAAGATATTTAACTACTGATGAATCAGGATTAACTGATTCAGCTATTTCAATATCGTGTGGACGAGTTTTTAAACTGAATACATTAACTAAAAACCGAACAAGCTCTAAATTAGAACTCTTACTAGCAAAATAAAGTAGAGATTTACAATCATCAGTTTCAGCTAGTGCATTACATTTGAGATCAGTTAGAAAGTATTGTACTAACTCCATACTACCAGCTTCACATGCTCCATGAACTGAAGTGTATCCATTATTATCAGGATCATCAGGAGTACAGGGGAAGGTCTCTATGAGATAACGTACCATACGAATATTATCA